TGTGTGTGTGATGCTAATTTGTATGTTAAATGTAGGTGTGGGTGCAAAACAAGCCAACTTGTCTTTGTTAAAATGTGAATTGGCTGTCTGGTCACAAAGAGATGCAGACATCTAGTCTCTACACAGAACTTACAGCATTCAAAGTAAGCAGATTCTGCTTCATTACAGCTGTAGGATATATAAGCAAGGGAAACAAATGCATTAAAATAACCAAAGCTCAGTAGTTCTGGACAATCATCAATACAGCTGTAATATGCATAAAGAAGTAAGATAAAGTTATGAAAGGTAACTAAAAGGAACTACAGGTATGAGAAGTAACTAAAGCTGATAAAGTAACTTGAATCTATAAGACTCAAATCTTACAGACCAATATTACACTCACTGCAATATGGATACCGCCAGTACAAACCAACAAGATACGCCAAAACCAAGCAAACGGAAAAAGACCTCCTCTACGGATAGAAGCGACCTACAGACGACAGACACTGAGGTCAGTGTTCTTGCATCCATCAATAAGAAACTCGATTTACTGGTCACACTTTACGAGTAAATATAAGAACTCTGGTCAAGCCTTGAATTCGCCCAAAACGACACTGAAAAGTTAGAGGCGTCAAACAACTCTCTCCAAGCATCCGTCAAAACCCTCGAGAGTCGTTCATTCATTGGATAAGAACACTGTACACATCACCTAGGGCGACAATAAGTACAAACGGGATCAGGTCACAAAGTTTCATTTTACAGCAGGGTACCAGACAAGGATGCCCACTCTCACTATCTCTATTCGCCATTTTCATCAAACCTCTAGCAGCAGCTATATGACAATATAATTAAAGGAATACGAGATACTTACTCAGAACATAAAATTCGTCTTTATGCAGATGATTTATTATTATATTTACAGGATCCCTATAATTGTCTACTGGAAACTTTACACATTATTAACACATTTTCTAAGATTTCAAACTACACAATAAACTGGAATAAATCCACCATACTACCACTTTCTGAGGATGCCTGGGATTCTGCAGATCAAGATTCCTTCCCCCAATTCTGCACAGGCAACATTAAATATCTTGGTATTAATATCTCCCAGGCTGTGTAAGATTTGAGTCTTATAGACTCGAGTTACTTTATAAGCTTTAGTTACTTATCATACCTTTAGTTACCTCTCATAACTTTATTTTCCTTGTTTATACGTATTACAGCTGTATTGATGATTGTCCAGAACTACTGAGCTTTTGTTATTTAATACATTTATTTCCCTTGCTTATATATCCTACAACTGTAATGAAGTAGAATCTGCTTACTTTGAATGCTGTAACTTCTGTGTAGAGACAGGATGTCTGCATCTCCTTGTGACCAGACAGCCTATTTACATTTTAGCAAAGGCCTGTTTTACACTCACACCTCGACCCACTTAGCATATCCCAAGCTTTGCTTTGTCTTGGGATGTTCTGCAGAGGCGGGGGGCTACAACCTGAGATGACCACCTGGCCAGTTTAACATACTTATTAGCATCACACACACAGGGGGCCTGCAACTCAGCCCATCCATTGATGAGTGCACCTTGAGATCAAGATCAGGGTGTCGGAGACACATACACCCACACACACACATGCACATACCTAGATTTACCATATTTCAACATGGAAATGTGAGTTCCGGCTCACACCAAATGACCAATAGGATCACAAACTATTGAAGGTTGCACCCCTGTCTAGGGCGGAGCGGCCCAAGAAGATAAAATGTACTGTAAGAACTTAATTCAAGGTTCAGAGTGTTGGGACCTGGTACTTTTCACCAAGCTAACTCAGAGACGAAGCAGTCCAAGTAACTTCAAAACAGTGCTGATTTATTCAAGGATCACAGGTAAAATTAACATTACATGCTCAGGTATCTTGCACCTCCAACATGCACGCAGGCAGCTGAAAGATGAAAGACCCTGAACCACAACAGGCCTATATATTATATCACTTTGGTTGGGCTAGCCCCATTCTACAGAGGAACGCCAAACCGTGATGTCTCCCGGTGCCAGCTTTGCAGCTGACCATGGCAGTAGTCAAAGCATGAAGAAAATCAATGTGTGATTGTCTGTTGATTATGTGGTGTGTAGCTAAAACATTCTAACATGACCTCTAATGACATGTCATGACATTAAACATAGGAAAATATTATGGCTATAACTACAGTTATACACGTCATAATAATAATAAACATCCTGTCTTCTAACAGTCATCAAATTTCTATCTAGTTATCCTTGACCATAAGCAACCTGCAGTACCCTTAAGAATGCCTAAGCATTTAACAGCCTGAGCTAGACATCCTGTCTACTCTAAACATTTCTAATACATCAAGTATCTAACCAATATCTATCTGACTGAAAATATCTAACAAGAGAATGGAATTCCTGCGGGAGCTCTGTCTCTCTGATCCCACTGCTGTAAAGACTTTCCTGTGATCAGACTTTCAGTAAACTTTCTGTTGATTTTAAACAGTCCTGTCCTGTCTTCACTTCTCGCGCTTCCAACAAAAGAATTGGGTTATTTTCTAAACATTATGGAATCTAAAAATGTACCATTCTATGCAGTGTCTGGTGTTTTAGCATCCTAATTGTGAACAGTTATGTTTTATCAAAGGGCAGGGATAAAGTTTTGTCTGATGTTAGCTAACGTCAGACACATGATGTGAGCTGTAGGCTACTTCACACACATATTACTGAACCATTTGGCCATATGTGTTTCAATTTGTAAAGACTGTCTTGAGGTTGTAGACATGGTGACTTCCAGTCCAGTGAGAAGTTTTCTTCAGGAACTAGAATGAGTTTTAGTTAGTTGTTAACTGACTGCTTCGTGTTGGTTTGGAGTGGGGTTTTGCTTTTCAGATTTTGCATCTAAGACACATAATAATTTCACTTTTAGCCCTGTTAGTTGCCTGACTCTAAAGATGATAACGTCCGTTGGTAGGCCTAGTGTTGTAGTACTTGAGTCCAGAACTCAGATCTGACTTGTAGAAAGAAAATCTTGATAAAATAATATAGTGCCATGTTATGTATTTGCAAAACTGCTTTAAAGATTGTTTAATCTGCTTGACCTTTGTAATGGCTTGACCTGTGCACCTGAAATGCTGTGTGTGAGTATGTGTCTAAGTGCAGAGACTCAGATCAACAGGAAACAAGAAACAGGAAGCCAAGTGCAGGTGCAGACTATGAGATGACTAAACTGCAAGAGAGTTGTGAGTTGGGTAGAAGTTCTTTTTATGTTTATCAACATTATAGGAAATGCTTAGCCTTCTATAATCAACATTATAATCTGCATTAGCAAATATACAGTGCCTTGCAAAAGTATTCGGCCCCCTTGAACTTTGTGACCTTTTGCCACATTTCAGGCTTCAAACATAAAGATATAAAACTGTAATTTTTTGTGACGAATCAACAACAAGTGGGACACAATCATGAAGTGGAACGAAATTTATTGGATATTTCAAACTTTTTTAACAAATAAAAAACTGAAAAATTGGGCGTGCAAAATTATTCAGCCCCCTTAAGTTAATACTTTGTAGCGCCACCTTTTGCTGCGATTACAGCTGTAAGTCACTTGGGGTATGTCTCTATCAGTTTTGCACATCGAGAGACTGAAATTTTTGCCCATGCCTCCTTGCAAAACAGCTCGAGCTCAGTGAGGTTGGATGGAGAGCATTTGTGAACAGCAGTTTTCAGTTCTTTCCACAGATTCTCGATTGGATTCAGGTCTGGACTTTGACTTGGCCATTCTAACACCTGGATATGTTTATTTGGGAACCATTCCATTGTAGATTTTGCTTTATGTTTTGGATCATTGCCTTGTTGGAAGACAAATCTCCGTCCCAGTCTCAGGTCTTTTGCAGACTCCATCAGGTTTCCTTCCAGAATGGTCCTGCATTTGGCTCCATCCATCTTCCCATCAATTTTAACCATCTTCCCGGTCCCTGCTGAAGAAAAGCAGGCCCAAACCATGATGATGCCACCACCATGTTTGACAGTGGGGATGGTGTGTTCAGGGTGATCAGCTGTGTTTCTTTTACGCCAAACATAACGTTTTGCATTGTTGCCAAAAAGTTCAATTTTGGTTTCATCTGACCAGAGCACCTTCCACATGTTTGGTGTGTCTCCCAGGTGGCTTGTGGCAAACTTTAAACGACACTTTTTATGGATATCTTTAAGAAATGGCTTTCTTCTTGCCACTCTTCCATAAAGGCCAGATTTGTGCAGTATACGACTGATTGTTGTCCTATGGACAGAGTCTCCCACCTCAGCTGTAGATCTCTGCAGTTCATCCAGAGTGATCATGGGCCTCTTGGCTGCATCTCTGATCAGTCTTCTCCTTGTATGAGCTGAAAGTTTAGAGGGACGGCCAGGTCTTGGTAGATTTGCAGTGGTCTGATACTCCTTCCATTTCAATATTATCGCTTGCACAGTGCTCCTTGGGATGTTTAAAGCTTGGGAAATCTTTTTGTATCCAAATCCGGCTTTAAACTTCTCCACAACAGTATCTCGGACCTGCCTGGTGTGTTCCTTGTTCTTCATGATGCTCTCTGCGCTTTAAACGGACCTCTGAGACTATCACAGTGCAGGTGCATTTATACGGAGACTTGATTACACACAGGTGGATTCTATTTATCATCATTAGTCATTTAGGTCAACATTGGATCATTCAGAGATCCTCACTGAACTTCTGGAGAGAGTTTGCTGCACTGAAAGTAAAGGGGCTGAATAATTTTGCACGCCCAATTATTCAGTTTTTTATTTGTTAAAAAAGTTTGAAATATCCAATAAATTTCGTTCCACTTCATGATTGTGTCCCACTTGTTGTTGATTCTTCACAAAAAATTACAGTTTTATATCTTTATGTTTGAAGCCTCTGCAGGAGACTTATGGCTGATAAAAACAGAACATGTGTAGGCTGTAAGAATCAGACAGGAAACCATAAACAGGAACAAGGCCAGGTTGCATAGCAATGCTGCCTGTCACAAGAGTAGAAGAGGCATGAGCCAGAGGTGCTGTCCCTAAAACTGCAGACAATGAGTAACTGTTTGTAAGACGTATGTAGGTGTGCAATGTCTGGTTCAGAAGGTCAGGATGTTGTTCTCAGAATTTCACAGAATCCAATCTGCCTGACAACAAGGACACCAATGAGGGGTCAGAACGAGGTCAACAAACCAACCAAGGAACGAGGATGAAGGACAACATGCCGACAGCGATGGAGACCGCGGTTACTCGCGCTCTCTTGTGTTTGTTTTTTGCAACTCATCCCGGATTACTTTTACCAGAGAAGAACTGTTAAATATCGGACCAAATCACACCAAACTACCTTCCTCCGATTTTTGTGAACGAAGAATGCTGTATGGACATTCTGATCATAGGTGCAGCAGAGATATATGGGACCTGGAAAAAATGCCGCCGGCGTGGAAAACACTCTGGCACTTCGGTTATGACAGAGGGGAACACGGGCCTCACTCCCATCTATTCACCTGGCTAATCTCTGCTCCCTGGTCAACAAAATAGATGAAATTCTTCTTGTCAACAGGACTAACTCTGACTTTGCATGCTCTGCTGCTTTGTGCTTCACGGAGACCTGGCTCAGCAAATCCATCGTGGACAGCGCGATTTGAATACTGGGTTTCCAGGTGTTCAGAGCAGATCGTGTAAAGGAGCTGTCTGGGAAAACGAGAGGAGGTGGAGTCTGCTTCTACATAAATGAAGGTTGGTGCACAAATGTCACAGTCCTACAGAGGACATGTACCGCAGACCTAGAGACTCTTGTTATCAACTGCAAACCCTTTTACTCTCCCCGCGAATTCAACAGTTTCATGCTAATGGGAGTGTACATAGCACCGCAGGCTAATGCTAGCATGCTACGGCTCCTAGCAGAACTGATAACTAGCCTGGAGCTAGAACATCCCGACTCTCCACTCATTGTTCTAGGGGACTTTAACAGAGCAAATCTCACCCACGAACTTCCAAAATACAGACAGCACGTCACCTTTCCCACCAGGGACAAAGTCACACTGGACCACTGCTACACAACAATAAAAGACGCCTATCACTCTGTGCCCCGCACAGCCCTCGGACTCTAAGATCACTGTATGGTCCATCTTATTCCAACCTACAGGCAGAAACTAAAAGCTGCGAAGCCTGTAGTCAAAACAGTGAAGAGCTGGACTGAGGAGGCTAAGTCAGAGCTACATGCCTGCTTTGACTGCACAGACTGGAATGTATTTGAGACTGCAGCTACAGACCTGGATGAACTCACTGACACTGTGACATGTTAAATCAGCTTCTGTGAGGATGTGTGTGTGCCCAAAAAGACCTTCTGCACATACAACAACAACAAGCCCTGGTTTACAGCAAGACTCAAGCAGCTTTGTTGTGCCAAAGGGGGGGCTTACAGAAGTGGGGACAGGACTCTGTACAGCCAGGCAAGGAACACACTGACAAGGGAAATCAGAGCAGCAAAGAGGAGCACCACACCAGAGGGTTTTTTGCCCGTTGCCTGGCAAGGGACAACATTGCCTGCAATGTAGATGAAGCCCTCTGGCCAGGCCCAGCTCAAAGTGATCCAGAGGTAGAATAATCTTTCTGATGTGTTTTTTTTTTCTTCTTCTTTTTTGATCGTAACATGGTTTTTGGTAAATTCACTATACAATAAGCTTTTTTTGTTGTAACTACATGTCCTGGATGCTGTGTTCTCCTTTTTTTGATGTAATGTGTATATGATTGACTCATTTGTGTATGATCTGAAAGCATTGTTTGAATTTGAGTGTTGGTGACATGGTTTTGAAGCAATTGCTTGAGTTTGCCAGACGAGTCAGAGGTTTTGTGAATTTAGTTTGAGTATTTGGATTTGTGTTTAAGGTTTTGAGAAAATGAGTGGTGGTTTCAAGAAATGTGTTTTAGCAATTCAGAAAAACTGTAAATAGCATTGATGATTTGACTGTTGACCACAGACCTGGTTTTTGCTGGTCAGTGGTGCAGTCACTTTGTGTACCCTCATATTACCAGCGCACCCAAAATTTACCTGGACACACCTGCCAGTGGAAAGTCAGACTGCTGCTTGTTAAAAAGGCACCGTGATGCACATCATGAAAACAATAATTGAGCATTGCGCTGCACACAGTGAGCTTGTTGCCAGATAAGAGCCCATGGACCAGAGGAAACAGAACATATCTGTGACCACTATGGATCACAGAGGGGTGCAGCTGTACCTCTGGTACAGCAGGAGCACATGCAGTGCATTTCTCCTGGTGAGGTGAATGCCTCAATTAGGAAATGTCACATTCAGAGTAACTTCCAGAGAGAAATGCTTCCCAACTTAAAACCTTTGGCTGAAGTGGAGCTGGCAAGTCCAGTCTCCAGTGTGGCAGCAGAGCGTGGGTTCATCTTACAGATCATGAGAAACCTAAGGTCATGTGTGGAGCTAGTGGACTCAATACAAACACCAGTCAGGAAATGCAGGTAAGTTAAAGTGACATTTAATGACCTCAACAACACAGCTAGAAGCTGGCACTCGTAGTGGGACATACTGTGCCCATGCTTTGAGGCGTGTCAAGAAATCCAGGAAGTGTTTAGTGAAGCGTGTATCGAGGCTTGTATTGTTTATGGTGAGTGAGCCTCGTTGCGTGTAGCGGTTCAGGAAGTGGTTCGAATTTTGTCGTGGTGTATTGGCGATATAAAGGCCACGGAATCTCCACACAATTGTCCACCTGTCATTATGAATTTTTCAACTATTGATGTAAAGGAGGAGGTTCACTTTGGTATGTTTACTACTACCACAGAACTTCAATTAGAATGCATCAGCCATAAAGTCTTATATACACTATTTACAAACAAGCACAAACACGTTAAGGGGAGACAAAAACACATGGTTTGAATGGGTTATCTTGTGCTCACAAGAGGAAAATGCATAGTTAAATGGCAGTCATTATTCCCACGCCCAAACTGTGGCAAGACAGCTTTAAGAGTATCACATACAATTAAAATGACTGTGACCACATCTGCCTGTCTTATAGTCTTTGACCAGCATGGGGTTTGTTTGTGCATGAAGCCTCAAGAAATGAACCCTTTTGGGAACCAATTGGCTGGAAGGCTTCAATGCTTCAGGAAGCTTCATCTCACCATCACTAGCTGGCACACACAGTTACTTGGAAGTCTCTGAGCACATGTAAAGTGAAAAACACAAAAGCTCAGCACTTAGCTGGCATGCTGTCATTTTGAACACATAAAGCCCTTGAAACAAAAACCTCAGCTTGTATCTAGCTATACAGTCAGTCTCTGAACATGTGAAAACTCATGAGCAAAAAAAAAAAAAAAAAAAAATCACAGCCCATAGTAAGGTCTCTGAAAACAAAACTAGCACAACCTAAAAGCAAGTCCAAAAACAAGAACATAAGCCATAATCTTGACAGCACAAGAAGGCAGACTGACAATCCCTGGCTTGTGAAGGCAGCCTAATGATTAGACTCAATTGGCCTCAGCTGTGCCCAATCAGCAACAGTAAAGTTGGCATCAGCCAGGCAGGGCTAATAGGAAGCTCAGCAAAATAAAAGCCCAGAACCAGAAAGCAGCAGAACAGCCAGTAGGATGACAGGTAACGACAATTACCTCTGCAGCAATCTAGGCTACAGCAGGTCAGCTGAGCTCAATTCAGTTAGTGTACCTTTTTGTAAATGGGTTGTTCATATTTTAATGGTAATTGTCTAATTTTGTAAAATTGCAGTGTTCCTATTTGCTTGTTTACACACACACTGGCCCCAGTCATCTGCTTTATGTGGTGTTGATATGAAACGTGGCTGCACATGAGCTTATTCCATATATTAATTATTTTTAAAAATTAAATGAAAATGAATGAAAAATGCTACTAAAATATCATCAATAAAAAATGAAAATTGAATTGAGGGGTGATAATAAACTATGATGGAATATTTATGATCCTGTCAGATAATAAGAAAGTCTAGTGTGACCTCTGCAATACACTGTAGTGGAAAGTCTGGAATATAAAATGACATATGACTGACATATCAAAAGTGCTGTGTTAAAAATGTAGCCTGTAAAATTCTGCACAGTATTTAACCAATCAGCAACATTCAATACTACAGGCCTTGCCTCAATAGTTTTTGAACCTTCAAAAAATACTAGTGGCACTACGTGGAACTGTGTCCCAGGACAAAATTTAGACCACAGGTACAGGACCTACTGTTAGTTCCGCAGGAAGCTCCTGTGCCCTGGGAAAGTTCCTTTGATGGAAATCTGGCTAATGTTGTGGGACGATGTGCTTCATATTGTAAATCTAAAGCTGAAGTAAAATCACAGTCTGTGACTTGAACTTTAAAGAGCCTATGGCAAGCTCATTTTGCTCGTTTTTGGCCATTTAATGTTTAATCTTGGCTACCTCTAGATTAGCTTGGCACCCCTCATAACTCCAAATAGACCGTAATTATTTCAGAACAATAAACCTGGTACATACCACAAAGGGATCTGTACATATGTCCATTTAAGTCATGTTTAATTTGACATTGTGTTTTGAGAGGGGGTTCATAACAGTGTAGCTGATGTAAGGTATGGTTTATCCACCCTTTATTTTACCATTACAACCCTGCCTTTGCGGTTGCATGCATTAAGCTGTAAAACCTTTTATATGACAATATACAGTCTTATGCAAATCTCCCATTCTTCCTTGCAAAAGGCTTCTAGTTCTGTAATATTCTTTGGTCGTCTTGCATGCACAGCTCTTTTAAGATCTACCCACAAATTTTCAATGATGTTTAAATCAGGGGACTGTGATGGCCATTCCAAAACCTTCAGCCTGCGTCTCTTGAGGTATTCCATAGTGGATTTCGAGGTATGTTTAGGATCATTGTCCTGTTGTAGAAGCCATCCTCTTTTCAGCTTCAGCTTTTTTACAGATGGTGTGATGTTTGCTTCCAGAATTTGCTGGTATTTAGTGGAATCCATTCTTCCCTCCACCCGTGCAATGTTTCCTGTGCCACTGGCTGCAACACAACCCCAGAGCATGATAGATCCACCCCCATGCTTAATAGTTGGCAAGGTGTTCTTTTCATGAAATGCTGCTCCTTTTTTTCTCCAAACATGCCTTTGCTGATTGTGTCCAAAGAGTTCTATTTTAACTTCATCAGTCCACAGCACTTGTTTCCAAAACGCATCGGGCTTCTGTAGATGTCCTGTTGCATACTTCAGACGTTGGATTTTATGATGGGGACGCAGATAAGGTTTTCTTCTGCTGACTCTTCCATGAAGGCCTTGTCTGTGCAAGCATCGCTGCACAGTGGAACGGTGCACCACCACTCCTGAGTCTGCTAAATCTTCCTGCAGGTTTTTTGCAGTCAAATGGGGGTTTTGATTTGTCTTTCTGACCAGCATACGAGCAGTTCTGTCCGAGAGTTTTCTTGGTCTTCCAGATCTCATCTTGACCTCCACAGTTCCCCTGATCTGCCATCTCTTAATTACATTTCTTACTGTGGAAACTGCAAGCTGACAACGCTTTGCTATCTTCTTGTAGCCTTCTCCTGCATTGTGGGCATCAATAACTTTCATTTTCAGGGTCTTACACAGCTGCTTAGAGGAACCCATGGTTGCTGGGTGTCCACAAGTGTGTGCACAAGGTTTGAAGAGTCAAGGTATTTGTACAGCTTTGAAATTGGCATTTACCAATGACAGCTGTTGCTGTGCATCAGATCTACCGAGCTGATTAAGGTCTGAAACCTTGTGAGAGACTTTGAGACTCTGGAACTCTTAGGGTGCCCAAACTTTTGCACCATGCCATAATAATGTTTTTATTTTTTATTTTTGTTCAATTTATGGCATAAGAAGTAACTATGCATCACTGTTTGCAGCAAATATTGTGCATTTTTTCCATTTCCAAGAGAAACTGTGTTAACATCTGTTCAAATAAAAAATCACCAAAATCTGTTATTTATCAAGGGGTGCCTAAACTTTTGCATAAGACTGTATGCATACAAATAGAGAAACATCACATCTCCCAATCAGTATTACCATGAAAGTGAAACACTGCAAATTTCAGAGTAGACTAGTAAATGATGTCAAAGATAAGGTGAGGAATCACCTGCAGTTAGTTCAGTATGGCAGTATGACAGCAGTTTCAAAAAATTCTTATTAAATGCCAAGTAAATTTGAGTGTGGCACAAGAAAGGGAAATGATAGCTCCAGACTACTTTGTGATTAACACCCCCCGCCATAATTTGTAAACATCCTGAATCGTCCCATTCAACAAAGAAATCTTCAAATCATCTTTGTGCATCTTTTTTTTTTTTTTTTTTTTAGCAAAACTGGGTCATTTCAATTAATTTATCTATGGCACAATACTTTATGTTACTATCCAGTGCAAGATGCTTAAATAGCATTTCTAAAATAGGAAATGAAATCTGGCCTAGTAGTTTAACAGATGAGCAAAAAACACATAAACTAAACCGCTATGGGGAAGGAATGTAGGCTGCTGAAACATTTGGCTGATAATTTTTGTGTAGGGGGAGGTGACGACAAAGACTAATATGAAAGAAATGTAATTTAACTGCAAAGCACTTAAAAAAATGCATCTGATATAAAATGTAAATGGCCTTATACTTGTATAGCGCCTTTCTATGCTTTTTACAGCCCACTCAAAGCGCTTTCACATTATTCGGCCATTCACCCATTCACACTCCCAAGCATTCACACACCAGTGACATCACCGGGAGCAACTGGGAGTTCAGTGTCTTGCTTAAGGACACTTCGACACGTTGACTGGACAAGCTGGGAATCAAACCGCTAAACACACAATAAAGATACCACTTCTCATCAGAATTAATTTGACAGGTGGCCCCGCCTCCCAGCCAATCACAATCGTTTATCCGGTTCTTAGTCCCACATGGCCCCCACGTGGGTAGCTGTCCCACCCCCCCTGCATCTGTTGACAGAGATAATGAAGTCGTTTCTGCATCTGCTGACAGAGTTAAGGAAGTCGTGGTTAACCGCATCTGAAAGATAAACAGATATCGGTTACAGCCCTGCCACACACATGGTTATATAGATAAGTATATAACTGTATAACTGTATTTGATAGCGGTTACAGCCCCACATATGATGGTATAGATAAGTATATAACTTGTTCTTGATAAGTTTGAATGTTTCTTACTTGACGTTGTAAAATGCTATTTAAGAATGATGAGTGTGAAATAAAGACTTAACAGCTAACTCAGGAGGTTATTGTTCATTTATTTTCTGTACCAAAAAGTAGTAATACAGAATGCCAAACCACTCTCAGGGTTGGAAAAAAAGCTCAATGAACATGTAGAAAGAAATTCTTGATAAAATGATATAGTGCTATGTTATGTATTTGCAAAACTGATTAAAAGATTGTTTAATCTGTTTGACCTTTATAATGGCTTGACCTGTGCACCAGAAATGCTGTGTGTGAGTAGGTGCAGACAGACTCAGAACAACAGGAAGTGCGCAGATGCAGAATGAGATGCCTGGCAACAAGATCACCAAATGAGGGGTCAGAACAAGGTCAACAAACCAACCAAGGAGCGAGGATGAAGAACAACATGGATGACGTCAGATCTACCATCATCTG